CTAGGAAGCGTGCAGCTTCTATCGGGTCGGTCCACAAGGACAAAGCCGTTAGGGTTGTCGGGTTTTCCGGGCATGCGAAGAGATGTTTCGAGTCATGTGGGGTCTCTCCGCATGCCGGACACTCATTTGGCACATCCTCATTCGATCTACTCAGGTAGGAGTTTAACCTGCTGCAGTAGCCAGAGCGGAGTGGGGCTATTGACGTTCGTGTCTCCCGAGGCAGATGAAGCTCCGCCTCGTCTATGTCCGGTGGCGGTATGCCTAGAATGGCATTCACAGGTCTAGAGTCTACATAACTCGAGACTGACTCCCTGTGAATGCCGTTCAGGGCCAGTCGGTAAGCTGACGGGTCCAGAGGTTGCTTAATGAACCTCTGGACTTCGTCCGTCAGTTCATATAGTGTAATGCGAGATTCGTCGAATCCCTTGGAGTTGGAAGATGAAGTGTATGTACATACAGTATTGGACATATCTATAACACCCCCCTTTCAAACCGATATAGCTTGCCACTTATGTTTAATTATTTGTTTTTAAGAATTTTCCATTAAAATACAGTTCATTCTCTAACAAAACCCATATAAACCCATGTTTTAAACTTTTTAAAAGACTGCAAAAATGAGCAACAAAATTTTCACTTAAATTTCAAAATTTTTTCTCAGAAGCTCTAGAATTTTTTTGAGTACACAGTTTTATAGCTCTTTCAATTTTAGTCCAATAATGTACAAGTTTCAAGTCGCTAAAGATTACGGTTGATTTTTTAGAATTTTTTTTGTCTCATTTGCTTTCATATAACGACTAAACACAATTTATTTTTATATAGCAGAAACCCGCAACATCTTCGGCGAAAAAAATTCTAAGAAAACAGCCGTAATTTTTAGCCACTTGAAACTTGTACATTATTAGACTAAAATTGTTTTAGTATTCAAAAAAATTCTACCGCTTCTGAGAAAAAAGTTTGAAATTTGGGTGAAAATTTGTTGGACATTTTTGCGGTCTTTTAAAAAGTTTTAAACTTCAGTTTAAATGAGTTTTGTGAGAGAATGAACTGTATTTTAATTGAAAATTCTTAAAAATAAATAAATAAACATGAGTGGCAAACAATATCACTTTGAAATGGGGGTGCTATTGTATTGGCCAATACTGTATGTGAATTTTATGAATAATAGTTGCGTTGCAGATGCTTCACGGTTTGTTGGTTTTACAGGATTTGCAGGAAAAGATGTTTGTGACAATAATAAACTTTATGGAAGGTGGCCATCTGGAACAGCTTCTAGTAAAACCTGCAAATCGTGAAGTATTTTGAACGCAACTATTTGAAGAAATACGGTACAGTTTAGTTATTTGTACAATGATGTTGAGTAATTGTGTCCAAACGCGTGAGCTGATTTTAAAAACTTTAACATACGCGTGTAGTGAAAGAATCAAACTTTAATTTAAAATAAAGATTTCAAATTTCCGAGCACTAGTTAGTTAAAGAATTATGCAGTTTTTTGTAAACTTTTTGCATTTGACCGTTATCTTTTACTTAGTTGGAAGTCAGATGACTTTTTTCTATATTGTATTTTATTGAAGAAGTGATCACCAGTAAATAACATAGTTAATCAGGAACCATAAATGTAAATAATAGATTTACTGCGGAAAGGCGGAACCTCACGAAAAGTGGCAAAAAATTTTGGAAGTTGCTACTTAAAAATGTTAAGACTTAGAAAAAATATAGCCTAAAGTGTTCCCAAGGACAGACGAAGTCTGTTAAAAAATATTACGGTACGATATCTTGTGAACTTAGAAGCAAGTAGCGATGCAGCCGCTATTACAGAAGCGCTTTAGGTATTAAACTTTAATGCAAATGAGTAGACAGTGAGGCGCAAAATTTCCAAATTGAGCGCAATGGATCATAAAAGAAGAAAAAAGCAAATTTGATCAAAATACATGTGCGAGTGTGGCAGTGTTTTGCTGCATCGCACGAAAACCGGACCGTTGCCTATTGGGATATGTTAGGCCTTACAGAATGCAATAAAAAAATATATTTAAGTTTCATTTGAAGGTTATTTGGTCTGACAAGACTAAATTAATCGCTTTCAATCAGATCGCCGGGCATGGTATCTGGTCAAAGTCCCAAAATTAAGCCCATGCGCAGCATGTAAGGCAAACTGTGAATAACAGTGGTCGGTCAATAATAGTTTGGGGTTGTATTTCAAAAATTTTGTTGGTCCATTAGTACGCATGATGCGTAAGGAACAGTATCTGTTCATATTTCAACAAAATTTGCAAGATTTAGTCGAAAAATTAGAGTTTCTGCTGAAAAATCACCCAAAACATACTGCATATGTTCGCAAAGACTGGATACAAAAGCAAAAATTTGCTAATTTGAAATGACCTCCACAAACCGCGGACATGAATCTCATCGAGAATTTGCGAAATAAATTGCCACACGGTCAAAAATTTGGGTTTAATTTTTAAACCGCGCTGGGACTACTGCCTTTTTTTAATTTTTTATAGTCTACTTTTAAACCAGTCAATAGTTTTAAGCAATATGTTCTGGTTTAAAGTTTAGTCGAAAAAGTTCGTGGTTTAAAACTCAAAGCAAAATGTTTTAATTCTAGTTTCTAGGTTTCATATATAGAAAATTTGGTTTAAAATCTAAACCGAAATAGAAAATGTTTGCACACAGCGAAATGTGGTGTGGATTCAAACTCAACATATGAAAGCACATTTACATGCGTTGCTGTAGGTGAGTGTGCAAAGATGCTTGATACAATTGGTTGCTACCAAGGCTGTCCGGGTTCAATCCCCATCAGACGAAACATGAAATTTAATATCTTTTTTGTTATTCTTAATTATGAAAATGTTTGGGTTTAAAATTTAAACCGAACTGTTTAAATTCTAAGCCCAACATAGGTGCTCTCTTTTTTTATTCTTGGAAGGTTTGTATTTGGAACTGAATTTAGTTTGGTCATATATGTATGTAGTCCAAAAAGCTTAAAATTAAAACCGAAACTTTTAACCGTGCACTGAGCAAAACTACTTGAGAAAAAAGCATTAGTTTAATAGCACGAGTGCAACATCGTACACGTGATAGAAGTAAAACTTCTTAAAACAAGCACATGTGTGCGCCACACACCCGGTAGAAATGTTAACAAAAATAAACTACGAGACAATCAGACGAATACAGTTGTTTATTGTATCCAAAGTTGGTACCAAGTTGATAAGTTTTTATCATTTCTCATAATTTTCTTTTAATTTTAATTTTTTCGAATACAGAGGATATGATCATTCTTTTTTGCTATATTCCGTATACGAAAAATTATATGCTTCAATGGACACATCGCTTTGAATACATAATTTAGATTTAGATAATATTTTTAGCAATTTAGTTGAGAAAAATAAAACATTTAGATTATTGTTTGTATTTTGGTCGATTTTAAATTTGCTACCCCAAAATAATTGATATCAAATAAAACACCTCTTTGAGGTAAAATTTTCGAGTGACAAAAGCTGAACTAGAAACACAAAATTTATGATATCAATTTCGTGAAGAAAATCACGCATTTTTTAACTGCCTTTGAAACGTACGCAAAATCTTTTTGTATTTATTCGGAACGTTGCAAAATTGCGTCTACTGCTAGAAACACAAAATAAAAAACAGAACTTAAGCAACGATTCGAATAAATAAAAAAAAAGATTTTCCGTACGTTTCAAAGGCAGTTAAAAAATGCGTATAATTTAAGTCACGAAATTTATATCATAAATTTTGTGTTTCTAGTTCAGCTTACGTCACTCCGAACCTCAAAGAGGTGTTTTATTTGATTTAATTTACATTAGACGAGGGGGCGAAGCACCTCCTATACAAACGTAATTTTTCATACCGCATATCTCAGGAAATATTTTGGATAGAGTACTGGAACTTGGTATAGATATATATAAAATCAATTCCATACTCATAGAGGAGGGCTGCCACCTGTTTAAAAAATCAAATTCGACTTGCATTAAGGGAATTATTTATTTGAAAATTATATTAACCCTTTCAGTCCCGAAAAAATTTACGGTAAGCTAAAAATCTAAAAGTTTGTATATCAGGAAAAGTAAACCACCTGAAGATGAGAAAAACACTTTTTTTTTGTGGAAAGCTTATCGTTCAAAAGTTATAGCTTGCCAGATATATTTGACAGGGCATCTAAAATTTGTAACAATTGTTCAAACCACAAATGAAAAATTAGAACTACGAGTTTTTACCTGTGTGTGTGTTAAATTCGCAAATCCACGGAAAGGGTCAAAGAATGGATGGCAAGAGGCTTAAAAAAGTTACAGTTTGAAAAATATGTTAGAAACGGTTGCCACCGGTTGTAGAAGCCAAATTTAAATTAGTTATTCGCAAGCTCTCTGAAAAATTAATATATGGGTGTCAAATGAAAGATTGCTAAGAAACCTTCAGATTGCACATTTATAATGTTACTGAGGTGTTGTACAAGCGTTGCCACCCATTTAAAAATAAAATTCAATTAATTTAAATGAATTACTACAATATGGGTATCAATCGAACCCCATGTAGGAGGGTGGCCATCTGTTTGAAATTCAAAGAAAGAACTTTAATAGGGTTTTAGTAGGAAAATATTTGGAAGAGGGCTGCCACCTATTTTTAAAGTCGAACATGTATAATTTTCTGAAGTATTTAAGGTAATTTTCTGACGCTTTATTTCTAAGCAACATATGTATGTATAGCAGGGTTTCCACATGTTTGAAAATTCAAACTCTACTTGAATTATAGGAAGTAAAATTCAAAGTATCCAATAATTTCAATGAATTATTATAATACGGGTATCAATCAAAATGGTTATGAAATTGCTTTTCGCATATTTTAAGTATGTTGAGTTTAATTGAAATAAATTACACCTAATGTAGCACGTAGAAATTTCATACACTCAGCCAAGCGATTGAGAATTATATTCTCTATTGAATGACATCAATAGAAAGTTTTCGAGAAATATTGATTTAAAAAATGCCTTATTTGAACCTTGACCTTTAATAATTCTTGTATTTGTTTCCCAAAAAAAATATACCGTTATGTTCATTGAGCTGAGGTCTATATGGATCCTCTCTTTTTAAATTGAGAATTGTAGGTATTCTGCATTTGTTCTCATATTAGCATATTCAGCGCAGTAATGTGATTAATTTTGTCGTTGTTTCCGTGTTGGCATTGAAAGTACTTGTACACTTTCTTTTATCCGCGAATGACGTAGAGGAGTCGCGCGACTGATTTTTTTTCTCAATTACTCGATCAAAGAACCGAGACAATTTCACAGCATCTGTTGTTCCAGCAGACAAACTACGGGGATCTCTACAATTCAACCAGATTTCCTCCGCTCCACACTGTTCTGCTGCAATTTATTGAAGGTATAAATTTGATTAATAACATAGTTGTCGTTATTTTTTAAAGCAAGAGTAGCCGGTTATTTTTCGCCAATACTTTTTAAGGCAAAAATAAAACTAAAGTTTTTTAGCAAACAATTTTTCGTATGCATACATATGTATGAACTCGGCTTGATTTTTGCCTTGGGAAGTTTTTGAGTATTCATGAAAGCTACGGATTGAAATGCAATTTGGTTTTGAAATGTTCTGAAAGATATAGAAGACTGCGAAAAAAAATCGTACATATCCAAAAGTTATTAAACTATAAAAATTTATGATATAAAGCAGGAATCCCTAAAGACTATAAAAACTTTGGAACGGCCCCAAAAAATTAACAAGACATCCCACTTTATTATCAAAGAGGTTTTCTACTTCAAAACAAGATCAGGCAAACTTTGCATTTTTATTTGAAAATAAAAAGCAGGAAAAACGATACTTGCTCACTGAAAATAACTATTTAGTCAAGGTTTTCTACGAACACATATATTTAGAGTAACATTAAGTATAAACAGTATAACAAATGCCTATAACGAACTTTGCAAACCATAGTTACCAAAATATTAATGAAATCTTGAAGAATATCGGAAATGTGTTCCGAATTTTGCAACGACTTCACAAATTTTAAAAGAAAATGGAATGAAGAGGTTGTTAGTTCGAACTCGAAAAGAAATTTCTGTACGATTACTTAAAGCAAATTCTGAAAGATTTATTCATAACACAGCATTCAGATTTTCTTCCGAAATTTCGTAAAAGAATCGAAATGTCCACTTAGAAAATTCGTCAAAAAATCAGAACGGGGAATTTTAGGGGTACCCTGAATTTGTTGTACAAGCCCTCGTATTCTGTAGTTTTGGTATTTATGGTTATATGGTTTTAGTTGAGCAGAACTTACCTATGCTACCAATTTTTTTTAGTGGTTTTGGCTGACGTCTTTCATCTAAAAGATCCAACTTGGCACCCATTACCAACAAAGGGAGTTGAGTCGAACCTAAAAATTGCTCCGGATCAAAACTGCAGTCGCCACTACTATTTCTTACATCTTTTCCTTCTTTGTTGAGAATTTCGTAGAGCCATTCGCGCAAATTTTCTTGACTTTTGCGATTTGTAAGGTCGTGAACGAGAATAATGCCGTGTATTGGTGCATAAAAGACACCACGAGTATTCCTATGGCTTAATGACCCACCAATATCAAAAAATTCAATGAAATACAACTGTTGTTGAGGAGTTCCTTCCTTGTATTCGTGTAACTTGACTTCTATATTACATCCAACGGTCCACCCTGGACGAGAGAGCGACTCTTTGTGCGTTATCAAATGTGTAAGGCAAGTCTTTCCAACCCCTTATTTAAAGAACCAGTTGGGTGAATAAATATGCGCATATATAAGTACGAAATATTACCTGAATCTCCCACCAAAAGAACTCTAACCTTATCAATGATATTTGCCATGGCAGTAATAGGGAATTTACATGAGGCGTTTTTCTGGCAACTTTTAGCTGAAAGCAATATTCGCCTAGTGTAAACGGCCTTTCAACTAATCGCTTTTAATGAAGTTGGCCAGCTGCCTCTACTTTCGTTCAACTTTTGATTCAACTAATCGCCTGTGAAAGTTAAATCATGTAAACTCCCTATGGTACATAACTATTTCGTCAAAAAATGTCTGAAAAGTTTTTGTTTTGAAATGTTAACTTTAGTCCGAATAGAGACAAGTAATACCACAATATAACCAGTAAACAACCTTGGGTGAATTTGTCGACTGCCTTCCTCGGGGATGAATATGCCAGGGATGAAATTATTGGTACATACGCCTTCAAAGCACGCAGGGCTGCTTTTGAGAAACAAAAAATAATTAGCTCAAAATAGATTCAAAAAATATAGTGTAAAACGAAATTTATTGAATAATTCGGGAAAATTTTCGGTAATTCTCTAGGGTGGGGTAACAACCCCTAAAAAAGGTGCGGAAAAGTCGGGAGGGGTACCAAACGACGCGTTTCGGCCCCCCTAATAACAATCCGGAGGGGGGAACTAATATTATTAACCATTTAAAAGTTATGAACAAAAAACTTTTGTTAAATTTCGTTGTTTTCTATGGGCAATTACACCGACAAAGATTCACTAAATCACCTGTTCTCACTTTTTAAACACTATTAAAATATATAATTTAACTTATTTATTAAAGAAACACATAGTTTTATCAACCTAAGATAGATTATTTTGTTATTAAAAAGAAGTTGACGATTTTTTATTAAAAATTTTCGCCTGCGTCGCTTTTTCCATAAAAATCAATACTTCGATAAATAATGAAAATTTTTAATAAAAAATCGGGCGATTTTTTATTAAAAATTTTCGCCTGCGGCGCTTTTTCCATAGAAATCAATACTTCGATAAATAATGAAAATTTTTAATAAAAAATCGCGCGATTTTTTATTAAAAATTTTCGCCTGCGGCGCTTTTCTTATAAAAATTAATACTTCGCTAAATAATGAAAATTTTTAATAAAAAATCGCGCGATGGTATAGCGAAATTTGCTACTATATTTTGGTTACAATATCTTATTTAGATGAAAGTAAAAAGAAGAAGAAGAAGAAGAAGAAGTGTATAGTGTAAACTGAGTATAATAGCGCAAATGAAATGTGAAATAAAGTGGCAATACCAGCGATTTGAGGTTATAATAATTTTAGCAGGCGCAAAGTTTGTTTACTCTGTTTTATTAACGAAATATATAAAATAAAAGTGAATAAATGATTTTGTTTGCATAAAATAATAACCGGAAACGGTTTAGTAGTGTCGCCGAGCGTTCAGATAGTCATTAGCATTTTGCACGAAAAAGTAGTG